GTTGATTCGTGTACCTATAGAGCTTAATTCTACGTTACCTTGTCCGTAGTATCTCGAATTAAAGCAATATCGTCGTAATGTAATATCGATTATTGAATTATTAATGAATAAATTGTTTATTAAAATGCGAATCATGAATCCATGGTAGACATACATTATATAATTTCCCATATGAATTGCTGATATAATAGAACTAAGGGCATATGTAGAGCACAAGCTTTGCACACTTTCACTTCCGTAGTTAAAATCGATCGCGAGTCATACGTCAACTGAGTATAAAGAAAATACGTCCATCTTTAAGCTTTTAGTGCTTAGATCAAACTTCGTGATGTTACTTTATATAATTTAATTTGAGCAATCGAAGCGAGTCTCACACTCATATCGTCGATTTAGCACGGCTTAACGTTTTGCGTGCGCAGAATATGGATCTTACGGACACATTGACTTTCTGTACACACATGCGGTTTCATATATTGTTCCCAAATTTCCGATATTGCCTGATAACCCTGAGAACCCCGAACGGACCACAAAGCCACTGCCTTTATTATAGTCGCGCATGACGTCAAGCATGCTAAAACCACGTTCAATGTACTATATGAATAAAAGGAGAGATTGATACGAATATATACGAATTCAATAGTTTTAAAGGCCGAGGCTTGTGAGTGTCACAAATAATATGTAATCTGAACTAATGAGTGAAACGTAGATTCAACTTTTTCATATAATTTCTGAAGATTATATATTTTATATATTTATAACATTTTTACATGCATACTTATATGTTTAAAAAGCGGTACGCGTCTGTTTTTTCTGACTTGTTTTAAAAAATTTAAAACATGTTCTATAGAGGAATAAATAAGAAATAAAATTCTCTCTCTCTCTCTCTCTCCTAAATGTAAATAATTGTTAAAACATTATGTAATAATTAATTAATATTTATATATAATTATGAACTATGATAAAATTCAACACTAAGTACCTATCTTATTCACGCTGAGCGAGCGCTCTTTCTTTTTCGTAATGTGAAACATATTTTTCACGCACGTGTCCGTAATGTAAAGCGATCATTGACCTGCTACGAATAATTTTAGATACTTTACGTTATCTATATGGAAATGATAATGCGGTAATAATCCGTAATATACAGTTTATCTAATGAGCGTAAAACGCCCGCAGGACTTTGTTATTTGATATGACCTGGCTATTTTGTATGCGTCGCTGATCCGTGATTGATAAATAGTATTATAATGCATATCACCCTTCATAACGATTAATAATAAGTGACATCTCTCTGTGCATAACTGTATTCTTTCTGAATTATTTTCTCTAAGACGAGTTAGATTGTTGAAATTATAGATCCCATTTCTTAAACTAGCAATATTTTTAGCAAATCTTGCGCGATTTATAAATCATGGATGACCTTAACACACGTGGTAAACGTTTAAATGTTGCAAGGATAAAAAATGTCGCATGCTGTACAAAAATTAGCACATGTCAATAAAACCGTCCTTCTTTTCTGTTACAGGTAAGTCCAGGTGATGCTATTATTAATCTGGTCAATCGCGTTGCAAGGTCGCATAACTCGGATAGTTTACGTAAGTTACATGTGCTGCGCGAAAAAGTATCCATCGGCTTAGCGATATCCGTACTCGTTTCCATCTTATGCATATGCACAAACACCGTGGCGTAACCTGCATAACAGGATATTAGCACTTAAGTCTTCGTACCAATAGTAACAGCTGCTACGTACGCGCTGTCAGAATGGGATTGCGATTTTACTATTTTGGATTCATTCCAATTTCTTCCTACTACCTACCCAAACAGATACAACACGCGTACATACATACATTTGGGACACGCGAGCCACACGAATATTGCGGCAAACTCTCGTGGAAAAAAAATCTATAGGCTCAGATTTTGAAAATATGGCATCGTGAGGAGTAGTGATTGTTTTTATACGTTTCACGGTTAAATTGACGGCACATCGGTCGGTCCCGTAATACACGGGAGAAGTAGGTACAACACGGTCGAAATTCGGTCACCCCAATATCGTGCGATGCTCCCCGCAACAGCCGCGTCCACTTCGAAGGCAATAAAAGTCCGCGAACGGCGGTGAGTGTGCGAATGTTTGCCGAACTATCGTCGAGTGCGATCAAATCTGATTTGTCCACACACACACGGCGGCGCGCCCCGGCCGTGTTCGTGCACACCAGCACCCACGCCGAGTACCTTGGTAATACGTAGCACACGAGATATCGTACGTCGGGTACACACAAAAAGGGGGGAACGGCGATTCTCGCATGCGAGAGGACAAGCGATATGAAACATACTGTTTGCGTACGCCGAGGCGCGAAGATCCCTCGCCGTTTACTTTGTCACCCGAGGGGATATTCTAATCGAATTAGACTTCCACGTAGTCATCCTCCTTTCGCGGACATCGCCGACAATTTAACGGGTCCCCTCGAAGTTAGGACCGACCGGGTAGTTACGTAAAACCAAGTCGTACGTTTCGATCGACGCGGTATTTGGCTGGCCGCACGCTAATCCGAACGTTTATTTGCACGTCCACGGTTGATTTGTTGAGCAAGCAAAAACAAGCGTTTGCTCGGTTATCTTTTATGCGGGCCACGTGTTACAAGTACGCCAATATCGCGTTATCTTTTAGGTCAAGATCTAGGGAGCAAGATTGTTTTTTTTTTTTCGTACGTCTTTTTCATTTTTTATACATTACGTATATTTGTTATACTTGGCTGGCTCGTACGGCGAGAGCGACGATTCAAAGCGGCGAAATGATGTCGAGTCGGCCAGTGGAATTATAAATGACGAGCGTTTCTTGGACAAATGTCTCGTTGCCAAAGTAATTCACGCGTTGCGCGAAGATGCTCTAAAAGCGTCACCTAGATGCGTTTGGTCATCGTGATATATTTAGCGCGTAACCACAAATGTTCAGTACGTAATACATTTTACGAGCGTTGCATTTTATGGATTATCATTAATTTCACCGCGGCCGCTATTTTCAAGTTTTTCTTTAACGGCACATTTGCGTGATCTGTATGTGTATGTAGACGTCTGCAATTCTCGCGCATTATTCGCGGCATTATACGCGACCCGTGAAACTATTTCCGCACATCAGTCAGTTGATAATCTTAGGGTGTACAGAAAATAAACGCACTGTTCAACAGTTTGATTATTTACCAAAATTTCCGTTAAAGTAACAGAATAATATTACCTTCCTCCTTGTCGGCTCGCGGGTATTATCGCAAACTCTGAACTAGTTTTACGGTGGACTTTTATTTTTAGGAATTTACCAGCTCGTTTAATTGTCACGGGAATTTAATTCGAAACTTTATTACCAAGATGTTTAACGTTGAAAATTGGGAACGTAAGAGAGAAACCTAATTAAATACAACGGGAGCCTGATTAAATTTTTTCTAAAAGGATTTTATTCTAAGCTGACGAGGAGCTATTATTTGGTATTATATCATTCATTCACTTCAACATTTTGTCGTCGCAAAGTCGCCGATATGACGTTTCACGCTGTTTCGCTTATCGCGATAATTTACGTTCCTATCTTCCCTCGTGATCGTACTTATCAAGTGAAAGTGGTCGGCCGCGAGTCAGCCGCGCGGTACCGTCGCCGAAAGAGTGACTGCAAATCACGGACATAGGCGCTGCGAGCTGGCGCTACGTCCGTGGTAGCTACGGCCTTTAACAGCTCTTGAAAGAGCTATCATAAACATCATAACAATCGATCCTTGTCCTGCTCGTTGTACCCGCCGATAACAACCTGGTTCGACAGTTCCGCCTGAGCGGGCCGTCTCTCCACTTCGTCTACGTCGTGACGATCCGCTCACGTCGCCTTCGTGAATGCGCGGTCGAGCTGAGGGGAATGAGGGAATCGCTCTTGGGAAAACCGTGAAAAAAAATCCTTTCCGAAGGGATGGTTTCAGTGCCAATGAAGTATTAATGCAATCTTCGCGACGAATTACGCGAGACGCCGTAACGAAGAGGGATTTTACGTGCGTGTGGAATCGTGGCGGATTATATGAGGGATTTAATTCAAAGTCTCTCGCGGATGATCTGACGTGGGAGGAATAAAGGTTTCTCGTGCTTCGCAGTCGAGCGAAACGTATCGCCATTCAACGCGTACAACGATGTAGATTTCTTTCCGTCTGCACGCGACAGTGAAGATAGTTTTCATTTGAGTTTCGTCGGAAAGGACGTCTCATCTCTATACCAGCTGATGACCTATCTAGATAGGAGGACTTCTATTAACCGACAAAGTGGAATTACGTATTTGAATTACAGCGGTCTACAACGACTGTTTCGAAGCGATTCCGACAACTTCGCCGCCACGTGAGATTGGTTTTCAAATGTATTTTGACGTTTGTAGACAAAGGTCACAATCAGAGAATAAACGTTCCGCGAAGTAAATGTTGAAGGTATATAAAGATTGCCCCCAATTTATCATCGAATATTAATAACGTAATAGTGACAGTATCTCTTTAGTTCTCAACATTCTTCGCCACAATTAATTAATCGCGAGGCACATCGCCGCAATCTTAGAAAGTGTTTACATTCTAGCTTCGCCGGCAAAGTAATCAGAGCCAGCCGCATTAGCGTCCGTGATCGTTGGAGCTAATTCATCGCGTCGACCTTGTCGATGTTGACCCGTCTATCGGAATCTATTAATTATAACAAGCAGGGGGCACTGTAGCCGTGTGTCATTATTCGATCAAATGCAGACCGGTCGATGCCGCGAGATGAGAGTTAAAAGTCGCGATTACCTCACGTTTCGCGACGGCGTGACACGACACAGCGTGACACGTGGCCGCGGCATGGCGACTACGACCTGGTAGGGATAGACAGGCGAACCGGTCATTAATATATTACATTCGTCGGGTTTTCTCACCGCTCGTCGCTGCCGCTGTCGCCGTCGCCGCCGTCGGCCGTCGCAATCGCGGTCGCGGGAGTGCGCAGCGTGGCACGACGCGATGCAACTTGCGCGCCGGTGCGTCTGTCGCGTGACCGCGAAGCCGCGGCCCGCCAACCTTAGTTGGCGTCGACTCACGTGGACGTGCGGCGGTGCCGAACGCCGCGTTCGTCTCGTTCCCTATCGCTTCGAGTCGCGTCGACGTGCTCGAGACGGTCGTTCGCGCTAATTGGTCGCGCTAATTCGCTCCCGCGGTTAATCATGCGCGCCGCGTCTCGGCCGGCCGGCCGTTCGTTCGGCCGCTCGCGTCCCGTTGGATTTCAGATATCCTCGTCGTGGACGAAAACCGGTTCTCATGGTGCGTCGTGATCTTTAGTTTCCTACTTTCCGCGTCAGTGTTATCGCACGCAGCAGCACACGATTATCGATTGTTCCGGGGAGCTACGTACGTAGCTGTCGCGAAATACGTCACTTATCGCTCATTCCCGGGTCTCTCTCTCAGCTGTTCCTCGGTGTTTCGGCGCGTGCACCACATCGGGAGTTTAATTTATGATTTAATTGATCGAAACATCAGTATGGATCATCTGTTTTCAGGATAAACACGAGATCTTTTTTTCAGTTACATAGTGAAAGATTAAATCGAAGTAACGTAAGATAAAAGCGGAGCGATTCGATGAAAGAGTGATTTTATTAGAGCAATGTGAAATTAAAACATGAAAAGTCTAAGGAACTTGTTTAAAAAATAAACTTATCAGGAACCTTTTCTTGACTCATTTATAAGAGACCCATTTGCAGGAGAACTAAAATACTCGAAAATATATATATTTAAACAAGCAATTAAAATGAGCGATGTGCTCTTTTTAAATTGCAAAGCGATAAAACTACGTTGTTATTAGAGCACAATATTTCTGTCACGAGATCGACTTCGTTTTCTGCGCTACATTGTGCATGTGTACGCGGCGGCGTAAATAATTTAAGCGTGGCTATAACATATCGGTGTAACGAGGTTTCCAGTTTTGTACTCTTCCCGTTGCAGTGTGTGTTTGCGAGTCATTCGAATACTACGCTTTACGTCGCCTCATTAACTCGATCTTATTTAAATGGTAATTAGACTTTGAATATTTATTAGAAATCTCGAAATCGTTGCAACGAAATCCGCATAAAGGTCATTAAATGATCATTGAATGATGCATTAGCTCGATTGATATTTATCAAAAGTGGTTCAAGCGAAATCTTCGGGTTTACATTAAACCAGTTGATAACAAATGTATAGAGCAAATAGGTATATCATATGCACGTATGACTGCATGAATAATGATCATATAATGTTCAAAAGTCACTTTTGCTGCGTTATCATTTATGATATTCACATTCATTCACATTCAGAGCAGTTTAAGCGCACGCCAGGAAATCCGGCATACCTCTCGGATATACATACGTCGTTTTGTCAACGAGTCATTAAGGTCATTGAAGATTCAGTGTTGTTATCGCGGCACTTATTTCATTGACCGAACGCTGACGCGAATAAATCAACGGCAGATAAATCGGCGCCGTGCTGCCGTGCGACACGAGACAAATTTGCAAAGAGGAAAGGGAGAGCTTCGCTTTTGAATTTTGTTTCCTTTCTCAGCTCATCCGGTGTCCACTTCAACGATAGATTTCGTGCGTACCTCGGTGCGTACTGACCTATCACAATCGGTGAAAACGTACTCGTAACGTTTCATGCGAGCGTATTCACGTGAGCTTTTTCTCTAGCAGCGGAAGTCCCTCGGGAAGTCACGATATGCATTGTCTAATATACTTGATGCGATCGCTATTATACGCAATTCATACATATTCGCGTATGTGTGTCGTGCACGATTTTTTTTTACGCAACATGTGAAAAATATATGGATCAATCACGGATACATATACGGTTTTTCCGTTCCGAGTTCAGTAATCATTTCGCGATCGGCCGAGGTACTTGTTGAGTCGCCGTCATACCGAAGGCTCCAATTTTCCTAATGGATTTTATCGACTCCCGACATAGTCCACGGTGTGATATTTTCTAACTATGCAGCTATTCGCCTTCGTTCGCCATTGTGCGAATTTTTGGTACGACCGCGAATATCCCTGCATCGGAGGTATAAATACCCGAGGAAACAAAAGATTTGCGGTCATATCGCAGTTTCTTGCTCGAATCGCGGTGCACTGCAACTGGTATAAAGATTCGCTCCAATCTCCTGAAGTGTCCTGAACCATTTGTCAGCGTTGTTGTACTCGTTATTGTTTCCTTTCTCAATGAAAAATATATTTTCATCTACTGCCCAGGCACACGGCGAATTTATAGATCGAGTAATGAAAATTTTTTCTTATAAAAGATGTCGCTTCCCGAATCAGGATTTAATAAAGTATGCTGTGGGATATTGATATTAATTTTATAGGAACAATTGTGTCTTTTAGAATGCGCTTAGCTCCACTTGAGCGCTATGTACTTGAGCAATGACGTCATCGATCTACGGCACGAGTCATGGTCGGTCGCAGTTAAACAAAGAATCGCTATCAGCCGAAGTTAATTACTCCGCTTTCAGCAGGCTTTTTGTTAAACATCAAAGCCATTGTCACTACAAAAGCAATAAGTTACATTTCACTTTTTCGTATTTATGTGTTTCGTCATGATGCATCTTTATAATTAACGTCACAGAAATGTTTTCTTTTCGCGAATTGCATATAAATAATGGTCTATTTAATTATATAAGAATAATGACCTGATTATTTATATTAATTGTTTTACTGAGGTGAGGGTATAGTAACGAGTATCAATTGAATATTAATATCGTTCAAGTACATCATGAATATTATGGGCTTGAATGTCGGACAATGATATGTAAAAGTACAATTGTCGCCTCGGTTAATATCGCAACACGTGTGTTTTCGCAATCGAAGAAATTCCGCAATGTCAGCAGATATGTAGATTATGATTGAGAAGCGCATATAATGTCCGCTCGGTATCTCACGGGCGATAAAACAATCTATTAACGAACCATTAAACTCGAGCATGTTTGAGCATTATAAATTTAAATGTATAAGAATCGAGGCCGGAACGACAAAGGATTCGTTTATGGTTATGGCATGGGAGAAATATATGTCGGCTCGTGCGGTAAATTTACGCCCCGTGTACCGTACCCGGGCATTTAATTGTTAATTTACGATGGAAATCACTTAATGCCCATGGACAAGTCCCGTGCTCCGTGTATTATATGGCGCGTTACGTAGAGCGAGAGACAATTTCTGAATAACACGATTTGATGAAAAGCATCATCGCGGCTTCTGATCGGATTGCATCTCAAATGAGTTTAATAAATCTTAACTCGCAAAGTAAACCAATTAACCACGCCGTAACGAGCTATCGCAAATGTAATAAACTATAGCTTGCAAGAATTTCTTATGCCGACAAGAAACATTTTATGTTACGCCAGCACAGATTCAAGACCATTCAAATTACTTCTTTTTATCGCGATTTCACCTCGTCGACACCTCGTGCTCGCTCTTATTTGTTGTAGTTACGTGCTTCGTCGGCACGTTAACAGCAGAAAAGAAATGTCATGGGCGACGACATTTCCATTGTACCTGCCAATACAACAAAAACGCGGATAGTTCTATTCCGCACTTATCATTAGAAGAGACATTTCATATCAAAAGAATAAATTTTAATTGTCTCGAAATACTTCCTTTCTCAGCAAGACCTTATTTGCATTAAGCGTTTGCTCTTGTTTATCTCATGTGTATCGCTACATAAACTTCCATACAAATTACTTTTATCGTTCGGCACGAAGTTTCGGCAATTTCAGACGCGACACATCATTTCTCAACGATGTCACATAATTTTTCAAAGACGAAAAAGGAACGCTTCCCTGTGTTATTCTATGCGCGAATACGTTTTTCCGTCTAGCTCGTCACATAGCTGTCGGCAACTTTCGAACAATAAATATTGTTCTTGGACGATATTGGCTTGGCTCTAATAACAAGTAGCACGCGGATCAATTTAAATGACGTCAGATTATTGCGTTGTCAGCTTTGTTCAACACCCATACGACAGTTTCTCGAGGAGTGTAAAGCTTGTCACGTAACGTGGCCTATTTCTTATTGTATCACGCGTGCGATTTTCATCTTTGTCAACCGCTAATGTGCTCCAAAGGAACATCACATTTACGCTCTTAAATTTATCCATATCTAAAATAATGGAAAAAAGAAAGTGTAACTACGGCGGAATTTTATACTTAAAATTATTATTTCCGAATATACGTGCGGAATACTTTTTGAGCATTATAGAGAATTATTTTATTAAAAACGTTATATATAATTGTTTTTTGTTTACGTATAAACTGCGCTTATTTTAAATGCGCGAACGCATTTCAAGTTGGCACATACTGCTCGAAATAAATTTAGTTGCCATAGAGAAAACAAATATTAATATTTTCCGACGCCAAGGAGAAATTGCAAAACGTAGAAGATGATTGATGAAACGGTTTTATTATACTTATCTGTTTGTTTTAGCGAATTTATTGTGTCTCTTTGAAAGCCGTCTAATTAAAGCGTCTAATTAAAACTCGGCCATGATTTTAAAATACCTTGGCTCACGTTGATAACCTATAGCTTAATTGCATGAATTTTAATTGTACTTATCTGTAAGCCAAAACTGTATCAAGACAGCTTTTGCTTTTCTTCGTGTATTTTTTATTTACCATTATTATTGCATACAATGCTCGATAAAACGGAGACAAATTTTCCGAAGTCGCATTATTAAAATACAGCTTCAAGTATACATGCGATAGTAATTTGCGATTTAAAATTAGAAATAAAAGAAATAAGCATAAATGTAAATAAAAAGAAGAAACGACAGCTATTTTTACCTCCCGATGCTGTGTCAAAAGAAATTGAATCACTACATCCTATATAATGTCGAAAAATTTCTCTTATCAGAGGAGATTCCGAACCCCGAAGGAAATCTATAAGTTCATCCAAGATGGACTGGACATATGTGATACATTCGGAAAACACCGATACGAATTTCATGCATTTCATGGGCGAAAAGTTTTAATGAAATACAGGTTGCAGAAAATAACTTCATTCACTCTCTGTTGCCCGTTGTGATACAACCGAATAAAATCACCACGAATACGTGCGACAAGATGAGATTCGCGCGCAAAAGACTGAAGAAATGGAACGAGAGCTTCTCTCAAATTCGCGCGAGAGACGCGCAGTTGTCTCGAGGTGTCGATATCGTGGCAAAAGTGAACTCGTGGAAATAATGTCGAGAGACGCCGAATTGTAATTATCGCGCCTCGATGAGAGACTACCGGCGCGCGAAAGTGAGGGAAACGCGCGAAGATGATCGCAGCGTCGCTCTTCATCTGGGCGATAACAAGATCGCGGGATCGATCGGAAGTCGGGCTCGAGGGCAGGCGAGATTCCCGAAGGGACTCACTTTACGGTCGGGACGATCGGGATCGTGCGGATTCCAGGCGGAATTCCAGGGAAACGGCGACGATCGGGCTAGCCATCGTCGACCGAAGACGGCATCGTCCTCGACGGCACTCGCGTCGTTATTATGTCGATCGTAACAAGAGGTGAGTGGCATGTCGCGAATTGGCGGAATTTAGCAAAATTCTGGATGTGATATAGGAATTGTGTCGTTCAGTCGCGGGGAGTGCGATTGAATTAATTGGGGTAGGGATTTGAGATAAAGATTATACGGATTAACCGGAACGCAAAAGAAAACGTGAGCTACTATCGCGTAATTTAACGTTTTTCCGTGGAAACTATCCCTAATATAAAATATTGGGCTCGAGATGAAAAGACAGAATGGCAACGTGCCCGCATTCCTTTCTTCATCATCGCTTTTAAGCGTTGTGGAGCGAGAGCTTTATTGAGATAAGCTGTAGTCGGTTAATAGCGCTTTAAGATCATATCCACTGAGGTTTATTAAATCCGATCCCTTTTTGCCCTAATGCTAATGTAATCGATGTACTCTCCGTGGCCACGGGAGAGCTTGTCGACTACACGACGAAAATCAATTACTGTCCGCTGTCCAATAGAGCAGGACGAGGTCGCGAAATAATACATCAATATTAATGCTCCTTGCGACTAGACTGAGCATCACGCATTATCGTCTGAATTAATTCTTTATCGTCGTGCTTCAATCGTATTCAGGACCAGTTTATTTATAATTCTTATCTCAGCACAGTTCATCGATAAACGTCTCATAACGATTGCTCGATGATACGCGGCCAAAAATAGCGACGATGAGATCAATTCTTTTTTCTCTGTATTATTAACATAAAGAAAGATTTAAGAGTAAAATTTACATGTTAAAATAGACGTTGCGCGCGTTCTTTTATTGCACAGTTTTGGAAATACGGGGAAAATATGGAGGAATTGTCATATTTACATACTCTCGATCGCACTCGCAATATTTTCCAGGTTATCGTCTCGGGAGTCGACGGGCTTCGATGCAAAAACCGGGATTTTGCACGCGGAACTCCGTATCTACACGATCATTTGCATAATATTGTACTTGCGCCGTCATGAATGGCGCGCTGTAAGTGCTCCGATTGTCTTTTTTACGCCACCTTCGTAAGTCGGATATCATATCTGCGAGCGCGCGAGGAGTTCTTGACACAAATCTGGCGACCCTGAAGGGTATGTAGATGATAAACCGTCCTTAACAATCGCGTAGCACGCTAACTCTTTCGGGATCGATATTGCGCTTTTAAGCAGGGGCAGGGGGGTCCAGACTACCAAATTCTCCAATAATCTTTTGGCGCCTGCTTGGTACTTTCGCTTGGTAAAAATCGCAGCCACTGAGATGATCATATAGATATTTGTATGGAGTTTGCGCGCGCGAAGATTAAAGTTGTTTTCCTCTTGTGACGATCCCCTCGCGACGATCTTCATGTCTTCTGTATGTGCATGCTACAGATTTCGCTGTGCAATTTCGTCGTTACGACACGCACTCGAACCTCCACACGCGCAGAACAGAAAAAAAGGTGACGTTCGTGGAAAATGTGCGGGACTTAATGCGCGATTTGATACTCGTTAACGGACGCCTACACGCGATTTCGCGGCTCCGGCAAATGGCGTTTGGCTTATTGTTAGATCGCGTTCACTGAACGAGCCGGCCGTCGCGTCGGCATGGTTCGTAAACGAGAGAACGAGCCAGGTTCCCGTGTCGAATGGGGGGATACATCAGGTCAATTTTTCACAAGCGCACTTCGAGAAAATCGATACACAGTACCCTTCGCAGATCAACCCTCATCCTCGCTTTTCTTACCAGTCTCTCGACGTTTTATCGGCGCTCTTGCTAAATCCCGATTGCTCCCTAAATTGATAAAATGTCCGCTATTTGCTCCTCTACCAGCCGCGAGTTCTTGAAAAGACTTCGTTCTTCTCATTGTCTATGAGAAGAACCCTCTTACTGTTCGACGTATTGCTAAGAAAAGATTTTTTGAAAAGGTTTTTACCAAGAAATCTAAAAAATTTTGAGCGGATGGAATCTTTAAACTTTGTAAAAGAAACGGCGAAAGATCGTGGAGGACAAAACACATTTACAATACAGGTGAATAAAGATATATCTACGTATGAAAACAACTCTTTTGCATTTTTTTTTTTTTAAATTGACGTGACTAATACAATATTATCTTGAAAATTTTAGCTTATATAGAATTGACGCCAGATTTACGATAAGAACTTTTTCCATTTGCCCGTGTTTTGATTTCATACGCCAAGAACGCTTTCTGGATCTTAACGCGATGGAACTTGAAAAGGAAAGCGGATTTCTTCAACAAATCTTGTCCTTTCCTTTCTAGAGCATAATTCCGTAAATGATTTACTTTTATTTGAAACATATGTGAAATCCGTTTTTTATATTAAGGTTTATACTGAAACTCGATAAGACTAGAGAAGTAAATTTGAACTTATAAATAATATAAGCAAAAGTATGATTGAAAATTATCCAGAATGATAAAGAATTAATAATTCTTACATTTTTAACCTAGTTTTTCTGAAATACATTTTTTAAAACAATATCTATTATTGTTACAGATTAAATAATAGAGGAAAGATTTTTATTATTTACCAGAAGTTAAGAGAATCTGAAAATACATTTTAGTTATTAAGGAGCAGATATATTTAATTAGCAAAATTTTTAAATATTTTAACAGTCATTAATATATTCGATATATCTTGATTTTAAAGTTCAAAGGTTAAATAATAGAGGAAGGATTTTTATTATTTATACAAGAAGTTCAAGAAACTATAAAAATTTCAATATTAATTATCACGAAGCAGATATGTGAATTTATTTGATTAGCAAAAAATTCTTCAATAATTTAACAAGTATTTCTTTAATAATTTAATAAGTCATTAATGATATTTGACATATCTTGGCTTCGAAGTTTAAATGAAACGACATATTTCACAAATATCTACATATATATGTATCTTTGTGTAAATGAGGACGAACTGCATGATTTATTCACAAGCTCGTTTGCGTTAGCATCTTTACGAGAATTACCTTTTACTATTTGTACTAATAAAACATTTATATGTACACGCATAATTTTGAATATGCATAATTTAGTCACGTGAGTTACAATTCACGTGAACCTGTTTCGGTGAAATTAAAGCAGCGAAATGTGCGATAACACAAATTCAGTTTATTTTCCTTGGTTTATACGCAAATAAATTAGAACCAAATGTCCGAACTCAAGTTAGGCGCAGTTTCGTTCAGTTTCCAATGAATTTCCTTATCGTTATCTCTCGCGAAGACTCCGTTACGGAAAATCGAGACGCCCGTTGCACTTTTGTTCGCGCGTATTCACCCGTTCTTTACCATCCATCACTCACCGATACGTCTCCGTAAAAGGGTTTTTTTCCCTAACCGTATCGTATATCACCTCGGAACCGGCGCATGCCAATTCGAGATTTCCATGTAAACGAGATGACCGTCGTTGCCGTCATGTTCGTATTCGCACGTAACAGAATCCGGCGATCGATGGTGCACTCATTCATGAATAAATGTGCAATCGCGATTGCATCTTGTTCCCACGTCACGCATAATAACGACTTTAATTAGCGTAACGCGATTGCGGGAGCTGGTCGGAACGAGAAGTTATAAAATTGTCGTGTACAAATTTTTAAATACCCGCAATAAAAAAAATAAAGCATTCATTTAGCTTCGGAAAACAAAACAAACAAGGTAATAGAACAGATTTGAAAAGGCTGATTGCATCAAAAAGTGTTTCCGCGTATCTGCATTAAAAATTCTGCCCTGAAAATTTAAAACGATGAAATTTCGTATCAGTAATATGCGTGTACATTTATCTTTATATTCCGAATAACAAATAAATGAATAACCGAATAACAGATGAATTATTTAAAAGATCGATAAATAAAAAAGCATACCGGATGTAATTCGTGTTGCGGTAATTAAACTTCAAATTCTACGTGTGTATACAATAAATATTGATGCCAAAGTGTAATGCATTGATTTTTTTACATAAGTCTATACGATACGAAGCGTCTCAGTGTAGACGTGCAAATTTCGTGAAGTATGAAACTTGCAAGAAAATCAGTCTATTATACCAGCTCCATTAAATCTACCCCGCAGGTGTTAGCAGCTGTTTTCTTTTTTTCTTGTTGCATCCTCTCTCTCCGCGCTTCTTTACCGCCACAATATTTCGTTATGGCAGATAAAAGTCGCGTGCGCCTTCATAAATATCCGATAAACTTAAGCTATAAAAGTTTATATTAAATTAAATAGCGCGGCGTGTTAATAAAACTGCGAAGTTGCACTCGCGGCGAAGTTTATATATTCCGAAATGATGTACGTCGGGTTTATAAGATAAATGTTTAAAAATTATGGCGAGACACAGCTGCAATTTATGACGTCGTAACGTTTCACTCGCATTCTTTCGCCGATTGTTGTTCCCGTGGCTATTTTATCATAATTGGTTAAATATTCCGCGTTCACGTCGAGCTGTCTTTCGCGATCTCCGAAAATGTAATACGCCATAACGAGCAATTGAAAGACATAACACACATTTGCTGTAATTACCTGTGTTGGCAAGACCTAATAGTTTATTTTATTGATAATATTCAGCACATTCAATTTAATTACTGTTTAGTTATCAGTATGTAAAGCCTAATAGCTTTTCTCATTATTATATAAAATTTATATAATGTTTTTCTTACAACATTCGGAATTAGGCACGTCATTTCGATGTGAATCAAATCATTTCAACACTATTCTCGATCCGCAAAAATTTTCCATTTGATGGATATAACGATATTATTATCGACTCGTTATATTGCGTCCTACTTATGCGGGC